CCAAGCATGTAAAAAATGAGCATCCCATAAATATTTCCATTGTTCTTCATCGCCTACTTCATTAACGACCTGTGCTTCAGACATTAGTCTACTGATGAACAATGATACCAATTTTTTAAAGTCGGAACCATATCAGACACGATGACGTAAAGTAGCACAGTTGCTAAGGGGCTTAGAAAAACAAGTAATTACCGGCACAGTTAAATGGTTTGTCCGTTCTTACTACTCCTAACTTTTGATAGTGAAGTGCCTTGGCTTGTTACTTTTCGAATTATTATGCCACATTAGCTGTCAAATGGACAGGTTTGAGGATGCCAAGCGTACCCACTAAAATACATACTCATTTTGTTTTAGTTAGTAAAAAAGAGTTAAAAAATCATCACCCAGGGCCGAAAACAAGGGAAACATGTCTGTATTTGTCACATGGTAAATAAATAATAACAAGAAAAACCTGTCAACTCTTGATTAGGAAGCATGACTGGAAGTCAATAAGCTATTTTTTTGCAAGTTGATTTCTCATTGGGTTAAATAACAAGCAGATCGATAAATAAACAATTTATTTAGTTTAGTCCTATTTCGGGGTTTACAAATGTGCTGCCGAGATTTTAGTCAGAGGGGTTATAGGGTGTACTTATCTGATGAGCGGTAAGAAATTACCGCAGGTGTTTTGCAGCGCCTCGACACTTCCCTGAACAACAAAAGAAGATATAATTCTTGAGCAGAATGTAAATTGCCACCTACAGAGGGGCTACGGGACTACTAATATGGCCCAAAGGTCAGACCAGCCGGCGGAGTTACAATGGCCCGTCACCAAAACCGAGAGTTGGGAATGAGAAGTAATTCGCTTCAAAGATGCCGCACCTTTGTCACCAACACTACAATAGGAAGTAGGAAATTGGATTTTATTTGCTAAGACAATCATCAAAATGCAGGATGTTTCTCATAAAAAGGAAAGTAAAATTGGCTAAGCGGGAAAGGACAGTAAAATGAGAATTCGGTTCTACTTTGCTCAGTCCCATGGCAAAGGTGGAATTTAAAAAGAAATTCTCTAATGTAGTAAATGAGTTGGACTTCGTTTAAAGATTGTGAAGGAATAATTGAAGTTGAAACTCGAGAAAATTTATCAGATTGACAATAACAGTCGCTCCGCGACATTCGCAAAGACGAAAGAATTCATGATTCTCGGGCAGGATGTGAATTGAAGACGTATAGACGGGCTAAGACTGTACTTCCATCAAATGGAATTAAAATCTCGGAGCCTTCAGTGCCCTACAAACAAAGAGTGAAGCAAATAGTCAGTGGTTTGCCTATCCTCTTTCTCATTTTAAGCGTCTTCTTCCCCCCTTCCCTAAGTCAACCTCCCTCCTCGGCCATTACAACGTAATCGGTGGTGTAAGAGCAACACCCACGAGCCAACCATGCCAGACATCGAATTTGCTTGCAATTGAGAGGATAACTGATTGCAACGCCGTTGACACCCTCTTGACAATTGCTCTCGCATCCGGGCTTTTGTCCTATTCGGGAACTGTATTGGGGGAAAGCGGGAATTGCCATCTTTTATGCCACTTTGTCTTCACCTCAGTGCTGCTCCATCACAGCTATCTGGGTCCTATCCAGCTAGTAGAGACGTAGAGGAGTCGAATGTTCACTTCATTGACATCTCCACACAGGTACGGTAGACAGCCCTGTAGCATACATTTACAGTTGGTTCACCATCACAGTCAGCGCTTCTTGCTTCATTTGTTGATAGCAATCCTGCAGGACAAGAAACTGGGGTGGCTGCCAAAGGTAGACGTCATTTTCAATCCCTCCGCTAGAGATCGGCACAGATTCCCTCTACAGCAGCAGATACCTTTCTTCTGCGACGTTACGGGTTGGGTTGGCTTTTCATTCCCACCAATGCAGCGCCCGACCATTTTCTGTAGACAAATGAAGACATTATACTATGACAGAATATGCGTTGCCGATTCACAAAATGGCGTCAAAACTGCAGCACCGAGTGGAAGTACAATGACTGTACCCTTCAATGTCAGCGTTTTAGGAATCCATGGTTACAGGAACAATTGAAGCATTATGGTTACACCTGATGATTATGCTTCGATCTTGTCTGCTTTCAAACAAACATAATTGAAAATTGAAGCCTTTTTGTCCAGTCTACTGTTTGAAAATCGGAGAAGTCGTTGCATGTAGTGATAGAGAGGCATACCGAGTAATGGTGTTTCAAGAAATTCCATTTATTCTGGTGATAAACCGCTCATGTTCAGGACCACCATCACTGGTTGATCATGATGAGTGGATAAAAGGATGTCGCTACTGAATCAAATAGGCGGAGGTGCATTAGCTAAGATCTTGCAGTGCAGAATTAAAGTCCCTGGCATCTAAAAGCTACCGAGGAAATGTGTGCTTCCTACCAAAAGTTAAGGGCTGGCGGATGGTGGACTTGAAAGTCTATCGCATAGTTGTTTTTAGAGCCCTCCAATTGTGCCAATGTGCAGGAAATGCAAATATTTCGCAAAAAATAAACTGGTAACAAAGAATCATTTGATAGAGAGAAGAGCCAGTTCCTACTCTTACTAGGCGGCATAACGAGACAGCTCACACCTCACTTTGGCTATTGCAAAACTTACCTGTGAGGATGAAGAGAAGGAGACAGTCTCACCCTCTTCATTCCCTTTATGAGACTCCTTTAGATCATAACTTGCCCCTTTCCTTGTCGTTTCCATAAGCTGGTCGTTTTAAGCTTTTGGCACGTTTTGAAGTGCAACTCGGCCATCTGCTGTACGGGATTAAATTAGAATGTAGTACGATGGTCGTTTAACTCCTAGTTTTGGTGAAGAGCCATTTTTGATTTGGCCATGCTAGCAGCCCAAATACCTCCTGCACGTCGAATACATATATTCTGCCCTTTTATCATGTCTTCTTTCTTTTTTAGGGAAGTCTCGGGGCGTTACAAGAATTGAGAGGTGTTACAGCGCGCCGGGCTTTTCCGAAGACAAAGGGGGACATTATACCCATATAGGTTGTGTTTTTGACGTAGAGAGTGGCTTGAGGGCTGCTGACGCGGTCCAGGGGCCAGCTTGCTTAGCGGTACTACAATGGCAGGGTCCCTAATTGACCCTTAACCAAAACCGAGAGTTAAACAAATAACTAACGTATTGCAGTATATCACCCCCTCAAGAGAACAGAAGCGGTGTTAGCTGAATCCGTTAATAAACTTGGTAGGGTGTGCAAACTAGTGAAAGCGACTATGAAAAAAGAAAGGAAAGTTAGGCCCGGCTTCTTGGGGTACCCGGATGCCATGGATTTGAATAGGATTTAATTCAATAATCAGTTTGCGAAATAATGCTTTACTTTTGTCCTGTATGCACAAAATGTAGTACTAGGTTACGCACTTAAATATCATCATTATTGGCACCATTGGAGTTTTAAAAAAGTTTATTACCTTAATGAGAAACTGTTTTGCAAGAAAACATGTGATCCAGCACAGAGAGGCTATTTTATGCTCGCAATTCACAGCGCATTTATTTTCACAGCCTTTAAGACCAAAGCAGGTAACCATGACAGCAACATAGATATACTTAATGTCGCTGCGAAAGAAGGCTCTCTAATTTACTGTACCTTTAACTTCTCCGGCTTTTCATTATCTGGCCTCTCGGTTTCCTACTTAGCAGCATTGTTTCGTCGATGCCATTTCTGTTGACCTCCCTCTAGCCCATCTATGTATCATAAAAAATCCTTATTTTAAACGTGTTTATCCTAAAACATGCTCGGGTAGGACCCATGTGTCGCAGTGCATGAGTGATTGTACAAGTTAAGCGAAATAACGGAACATGCTTTTGAGATTTATTGGCTTGATGAATCCTAAATTAAAAATCATCAAATCATTTTTTCAAATAGATCAGATAGTTACTTAAACTGGTTATTTGGAATGAACCTGTGATTATATTTAATATAGTTTATATGCATCCCTGCGAAATAGAATCAACGACCTTTACTTGTCCTAAATGACGAATTCTTGTAAATGACGGAGCATTTGCTCACCGTTCTCGACAAATAATAGGTTAAGAATTGCAAAAAACATCCAAAAATACCGCCTTGATTTTTAAGCATACTGTAAGCCTGGTTTGCCCTTTCACACGCCTCCCACTTTGCAGTTAAATCACTTTACAAATTAACAGCACTTAAGAAGTAATTTCGTAAAATGACTAACAAAAATTGTTAGTGTTTAATTAAGCGACGTTCCTAGAAGATTTAACCATAATTTTGCCAATATTGTAAAGTGTAAAACGTAAGTCGAGTTGAAGCAAAGCATGCAGGCTATAGAAATGGCCAGGAAGTCATCCTTTCATATTAGAGAGTCTGCCTAATTAATGAATCAGTAAAGCAAATACCTTTCTGCCACGGCCTTGTGGGAGTTAAAAAAGTGAATAGAAGTACATCTAAACATCCAAGTTGTTGCCTGATTACTTGAAAGGATCAGAACTGCTTGACGTATGCGTACTGTAATACTTCGGTCGTTCGTTTAATTCCCTAGTTTGGTTAAGGTGACACTTAGTGCCAAGCGGTGTTACTTCTACTGTGTAAGGCAACCTGTAGTAACTCAGCCCTTTTGTATGTAGGGGATATATTTCCTGTCCTAGCAGTATGAATTCCTTCGGCTTCCAGGAAAGACACAGAGCTCTACAATTCTATTACTTCATTTTTAGTGGTTGATTAGGGTCGTTTTTACGGTGAATGTTTAGGTGAATTATACGAAATCGCAGATAAGGCTTAGCTACTAGTTGGGTTACACCGATGCCATTCTAATACTAAGATCATAACTAAGAAATTGCAGCTAATATTGTCTGTGATAAAAGGACCTTAAGGTAAAATTAAAGTTTAATAATTCAGCTAAGTCAAAATTCTGTCATCGGTCTAGGCCAGATACAAAAATATACATAAAAGGGGCACTTTTTCGTCTGCATGCATGGGGATTGGGACAAATCACCGGTGAGGCAGAACACTTCAAAGAGAAGCTAAACCACGGTACAACTACGCAAGGTGCTCCGGCATATTATTTGGCAAATCGTAATGCAGCATCGTTTGAGACAGCAAACGCCCCATTATTTGTCGGTAAATTAGTTGCCAAAGCTGGGTGATTTCATGAAGTATCAAGGGCAGAAAATCTCCATAGTTTACAAAAAGCTGGCTGTAGTGAAATGCCGTAAGTTGTAGAGCCTTAAAATCCATAAATTTTGGTATACACGTAAAGTAGAGCAAAAATGTGTCCCAGTCTGCAATTGGCACGGTTCCATTTATTGTGCTCTGAAACATTTGCGCATTACTTTGGGTCCTCTTATCATCAAAATTCGGTGGAACCTGATGAATATGATTCAAGCTTTTCTCATTTTTAAATCGAGATTTACTTGGCTTTAAGGCAAAAGCAGGAGTAAAAACCCCCTCGTAAAAGTTGCTGTCGTGTTACGTTTAGAGAATGTGCTTGTAAATCAGCACTACGAAACACCTCATACATCTTAGCGTTGCAGACCCTACCTGGGGGATGATTGGCACTTAATGATTGGAGAAGGCAAGAATGCCCACCACGACTTCATTTAATCTTTACCCTCACAGTCATCTCCACCCCTCAGGCGACAGTTGCTACCTGCTTGGCATCACGACTAGCCAATCGCAGATGAAGCAGACGAGATAATTAAGGAAACTGAAGGTGGATTAAGAACTGAGATGGGTAGGGCAAAATTTATTGCTTCTAAAGGCCTATGTGTACCATTGGAATAAACTACGCAGTCATGTGCCATCTTAAGGCAGAATTACAGATTTCATTGACAGACGAATACCTTAAGGCAAATTATGAAAATTATGGGATGACAAACTGCGTTAAATCATTCAGTTACCTGTCAGTTGCGAAACTAATTAGCACTTTTATTAGAGTAGCATGGTTTAAATAAAATGTATGTCAGGGACTAAATAGTAATGTGGTGTGCTTCTTATTTAATTTTATGTCAAAATAAGTTGAAATAATACGTAATTTCAATTTTTACTTGCAGTATCAAAGTTTATTTGCACTGTTAACAGAATTTCTGTGTTAATCCATCTTCTAGAGCTGATTCCAAACTATTTTTTTAAAAAATACTGTATCTAACAGTATGGTTTTACAAATGCAATTAACTTTTTAAGATATTGCGACATTTAAGAGGTTGCGAGTTGGTGTTTTAATAGATAAAACCACAGTGCTGGCCTTAAGTGATGCACAGCGATACTCAAAGTGCGCAAAGTTAGTGCTTCGGTTTCAGATCATAAATCGTAAATTGTGCGTACAATAAAGTATCTTCGTTTACGACGAATGTTAAGCCATTTTGACAGACTCAATCTATGCAATGGGATCGTGATGGTCCACTGTCACTACGTTTACAAATGTAGGAATAATGGGGTTGAATTTGGAAGTTTAAATTGAAATGCAGAATTGTGCATTGATTAATAAGTCAAAACACTTCACTAAATGATCAATAACAACAACAAATATCTGCCTACAAGTTTAATGACAAAATATTAGCAAGGAGAGCACATACGAGTAAAAAATCAAACGAATCAACAGAACAAAGCCTTGGTAAAAGGCCAGTAGTTTAGGCCGTCCAATTAACCGTGGCGCCACAGCGCTTTGTCTCAGTCATTTCTGTTTTTAGCCCACGTTCTTCCTTCCAGCGTCTTTGAGGAGGAATAAGACGCTAAAACACAAACTCTGGGGAAGGTTTAAGGGATGGTCATTAAAGTCCAGACCCATAAATCATTTGCGGTGCGGAAATTAGAAATGCGCCACCACAAGCTACATTTAAAATTGATGATGGAACTCAACAAGAGCATAAAATACACCAAGAATTTCACTAAAATTGCAGCTATCCAAGTCTTTCCTGAAGGCAAAAGAAGACATAGTAGGCGGGAAGGATAAGCATTGCTGACGTACAGAAGGACTGGGCTCCACTGGCTCGGACCGAAAGCCATGACTCCCGGCGGATGTTTAAAGGCTGGGGCGTAAATGTTCACGAACCCAAAACAGGGACTCAAACAAATAACTGGGGGCATTACAAAATAAACAGAATAATTTCAAGATCGTTGAATTGAATCGTCGGCTGAGCAGGGTAGAAAGAAAAAAAAAAATGAACGAGTGCCATGGAAACCTGCTTCTATTCTTTAACCTTGTCCTCAAATTTTGGTCCATGTAATTACGCCGTGCATTTAAATGAAGTGAAGTCCTTGATTTGTCAAACGTAGATTTGTTTTTTCATTTAAGAAATTACAAACAACATTCATTTTGTCTCAATAGTTCCTTTAAAAGTGGCTTAGAGCAAACAACTACCAACATAATTATTCAAGCAGGAGAGGAAAAAGGTTTGTTGGATTTGATGAAGCGAAATTTTTAAAATTTAAAAAATTTGAATTTGAGCTTTGAGAGGCTTGTTTTACGCTTTCACTGTCAGGGTCTTCGGGGAAAATTGACCACCTAAACCGGGATGTTTCATTATTCGACTTTTACATTAACACTTGTTCCACTTTGTATTCGAAAAACGTAATAACCCTTAAACTAGGGAAATCCCACCTCTAGTTTACTGTTTCGACCTCAACCAATCGGTTTAAGGCACTCAATTTAGTGCAGGTGGATACTTATTACTGTCTGATAAACGGATGTCACATATAAGTGACGCCAGTAGCAGAGGTTTAATGAAAAATAAAGTTTAACTTTCGTGGTCAAATGCACATCATATGTTGAAAAAAATACACACAAATTTAATTTTATTTTACCATGGACTAATGTAGGCTCACAGTTTTGTCAGAGAAGGGCTCAAGTACACTTTTGACAGGTGTCCATTTTGCCAATTTTTGGGGGCGCGACCAAGAAATTTTGTGCTGAAAAATCTTTGCAACTTTAAAATTTTTTTCTGGAAACTAATTATTTAAACTGGTAGGGAAGAAGGGGACTCAGACCAGCTCGCATCCACAGCACGGAAATAGTCAAGTCTATAACTGCCACAGATCAGAAGGCAGCTGCGCCTAGCAAAACCAATTTCATTTATTCGAGTTGAGTTATCTCAAGGTGAAGGATTACAATTTCCACTAAAATTAATTTTGACCTCTGACCTCACTCAGCTCCTCCTTTCCTTATGAAAATATTGTTATCACACCAAAATTAGAACTTTCTTACAAAATGAACATTTTAAAATTCCTTCAAAATTGAGCAGTTTTGTGGCAGTTGAATTTAAACGAAAGCAGCACTTAGCACTTTGCCCGGATTGTCTGTTTAAATCCTCGTGTCCGCTATCGTACTTCTAGGTGGTACAGACTCCAGGCTGTGACATTAGGGACCCTTAGCCCTTCTGCACTAGTATTATGCCTTATTTTGTCTTCAGGAAACCACTAAGATGCGCCATCGGTGACGACAAAAAGAGGTTCCATTCCTAAGTGCTACATCTCATAGTGATCGAAGAAGGGCGTATTGCGGACGAAAGTGTCTGCGATTACCCCTAACAGAAGGGTTAGAACTAACGTCTACCTTCGGCAACTACCCCAGTCCCGTATTCAGCAGGAATGCTCTCAACAACTGCAGCGACACCAACCGTGGCTGTGAACCACCTGAAAGGTTTGTTACGAAGCTGTCTTTGACACCTGTGTGAAGAAGTCAATTAGGTGAATGCGCGAAACCACCTCCAACTCTCTACTAGCTGGATAGAACCCGGATATATACGGCTGGGGAGCACTGCAGTGAGAACAGTGTAGGAAGGGTGAACAGACTATGACTACTTTGAATCCTGTCAAGTATTCACTGACTCTGCTAGTGGGTTAGTGTTCTTCTGACAAGCGGTGGACAAACGAGTTAAGTAGCACATTCCCTGTTCCCTCAATGCAGTTTTCAATCAAAATAAGACTCCAGATTCAGTTGAATTGCCAAAAGGGACCAGTGACGCTACGGTAAAACATCCCCTCAGTTGCATGAAAATACGATGGCTGGCGCGGATGGCCCGTGATTAAATTTCTTCCAACACCGACGCAAGAGGTTCACCAAGGGGAGCGCAGAAGCCGGCGCTCAAAAGGGGAAGGTGGCAATGCACTACTTTATTTTTGTCTAACTTTTGTTTTTGATTGTGCAAGAATCGAAGGTTTAACGTTTGTACTTGCACTGGGTGGAGTGACCTTTGGGCCACGTCAGAAGACCCCATCCCTTCCATACGTCGGCAACACATCTTCCGCCCATGATGATCGTGACTCATGATTATGCCTAATGCAGGTGGGAATTACGAAGTAATCCTTTCGAACTCAGTCATTCAAATGACAGCAAATGCAGTTGAAATAGGCTGATTTGGCGGTGGCTTTCGATTTGTCAGATCGTTGCTGCGAGAGCCGGAGAGGAAGAGCGAGTTTACTCCACCCTACTTTATCACGCAGCCAATAAAATGAGAGGACGATAGCATCTCACTCCTTTTTGTAGGCAGTGTTATTTCAGGGCAACGGAACAAAATACTCTGGTTAACTATCCACTGCAAAAACAGTGAATGAGGCAAGAAAAATGTTACAATAAAACAAAATTGCGTTTATTTCATTATAGAAATGGGATGGATGAAAGTCGTCCCATCTTATTTGTGACCTTTCTTTCTATAAGGAAAAAGGCTAAAACAAATAATTCATTATGCAAATTTGCAAGAATTTTACGTGAATCTCGCCTCAGGATAATACATGGTGAATCCAAGTCAAAGTGGTCCACAAAACAATGCGGATTAATTCTTTTCAAAATAAGACTCTAGGAAAGAAAGTGTCAATGAAAAACCAAATTTATTATTAATCTGGATAATTATCAAACGAGAACCTTGAAATGAGCCACATTAGCCTATGAGGATCGACTATAGTAGAACGAATTTGATGAGTATCTTGCAGGTCAATTTAGGATGAAAGAGGTAGAAAAAAAATTAAAACGCCTTTGGAGATGCCTGAAACCTATATATTTACAGGAAACGTTGCTAAAACTGACTTACCCCATATACGCTTGCTATCTTTTGCAATGGTAATAAATATCCACAAATCACGGATCAACTAAACAAAAGTACATCGCGAAACCATAAAAGTGGTAATTATATCAGTGTTATAGCCCACTACCGCGTAAAGTTGCATTAAACGAATCAAGGCCAGATTTTATGGGACTACCAGTCCCTTTACCAACTTGTTTAAATGGTCTAATGGCATTACCTTGGGAAAACAAACAACCAAAAAAAATGCCCTCGGTGGGCTAACGCACTTGGCAGATGCTCCATTAGTTCCAGGTGCTAAAGTGGAAAAACATAAGCCGACAAACCGCTTAAAGTCATTATGCCAAAATAAAACAGTTTTAGACGCAAATCGGCTCTTTCACAGGCGTTAACATTTGACTTTGGAATTCTCGTAGTCTTCCGGAGGAATCTAGAATGAAGTTAACCTATGCCTAGCTAAGGGCACAAATGCATAAATTTAAGCCCTGATATATGCAGTTTTATGAGGAAGGCCGTTATATTTCAGCCTCAGCTACTATTTCCCATTGAGTCTTACGAAATAAACTTACAGTTTTGTTAACTTTATAGGTCGAAAATTTAATCCATTATGCATTAAGAGGAATGGAGTCTTGCATAACAAATGAAATGGGCCTGTACATTGTTTTGCTCCGAAATGTCGGCATATCTTTTACTATGTACTTTCCCATTTTACGAAAACAAAAGACCTCATTAACAATGCGTGCCCGCGCTCACGAGTACCAGATTTAGGAAGAATGGAAAGTTTAAAACGCATCTTTATGATGCGGAGGTTGGGCATCTCAAAAACCACCTACCCATCAGCACCAGGTAAGGTAAAATCAGTAAAATGAAATATACCTTGCATTTTAAAGAGTACGGTGCGACGTTTTAAAACAAAACAAAACAAATCAAAGTTGCTTTAGAGAAAAGGCAGGGAGATATAGTGAGCATCACATCGGAGGGTTACAGCATGATGGAGCCTTAAAAACGTAGCAAATTAGCGTGCGCTTCCCTATTCTGTATGAACTTTTTGTTAAAAAGGGAACTCAAGGTCAGAAATTTTATTAATTGCACCACCTATGAACAAAAAATTAGCGGCAGGAATTCTCACGAAAGTTTGTTCAACAGAGAGTTGCACTAGTTCACTACACAACAATTCGGTATGCGACTTCAGACAAACATCAGCCATCTTTAGTACGCAAAACGAAGTCATCAAAGTTACTTTACCAGATGTAAAATTGACAATTTTACTTAGCAACTTGAAAATCGAGTAAGTAAAAGACTCAGTTAGGGAAACTATGGTCAGTAAATTACCTTGAAGTTCTTTTTTAGTAATTCAGTTGATACTCTTCTTCCAAAACAATATGAAAGTAGGAGATATAGGCAGCAATACGGCGCCGAACTAGATGACAAAATTTTAAAATGCTTTAAGAAGGGGCAAGCGTTTTCCCATGGGTTTGACTCAAGCAAAGCGTTGTAGTTTATCTAAAGGCTTGTATTGGGAAGAAGGTATTCAAATTTATCAATTAACTTCCCAAACATTTAAACTTCCAGGCTTAAAGTGGTAGCGTGATGACAACTTTAGTTTTATTTATGTTCCCAAAAGTCTAAACCTCTTAAGCTAATAACGAAGTTCATTCAACTGCAATACTTGCCACGAAAGTAGTCCGTAACTCAAGCGTAACGAAGTCAATCTTTCCAAAAAGCATTTCATACTAACTGGGGTGTCACGCAAGTTAGTTGAATGCCTCGAAAAGGATACTTTTTCACTTGGTTTAACAAATAAGTCAATGGCGACTGATGCTAGTTGAAGTAAATCAGATTTCTGGACTAAAACTAAAGGGACGTTATAATAACCCATTTAGTGGTAAAATCAAGGCAAACAGCTGTTTAAAGCAGGAGCTGGAGGTGAGTTTTTAGGTGGAAATTTAACCTAATGGTTTACCAGATGGATATGGAATATTACTCTTACCTGTTAGGATGTTAGACGTGCAGAAAAGTAGGCTTTGAAATTTAGTGAAGGCTGGTGTTAGATCAATAGCCGTGGGTACACGTGCCTCATCAGTCTAGGCATGTGGATTTCCGCATATCCCAGTAGCAAAAAAGGATGAATGAGATCGACATAAACTATCCTTTTGATCCACTCCTTGTAGAACGTCTGGCAACGGAGCTGCAGTTACGCATCGGCACGTTGCCCCGGGTTGAGGTCTACTATCTCCATCTGGAAGCTTATGCTGGTGATGTCCTACAATGCTTGCGAGTTCAGCCGCGCTCTCTCTCCGAGATCTCACGCACTGTTCGCGCTGCAAAGACAATGAAGCTGACGGTGCGGGGAATGGGACACGCATCAGGAAAAGAAAAAGTCATCTACGCCGACCGCTTCACTGTGATTGTGGATTGTTGCCAACTCGCAGACGAACCGAGGATGGAGTTGGTAAACGTCCATCGAGATGGAGACGACAAGGACACACCGGGGTTGAAAGTACTCGCCGGTGTAACTATAAACGAGCTCATGGACTATATGATCGACCATAAGGTGGAGCTCTACCAGTCACCGGATATGATTCCAGGCATTGGGACAATTGTGGGGAACATTGTGACTGCCAGCCCTGGAGTCTACGCTCCGGTTTCAGGGGCTCTGGGAGGCTGTCTTGCTGACGAGGTGATCGCTATGCGGGTGGTTGACTCCTATGGAAATTTGGTGCAGTACTCGGACCCACACAAGTTAGAACAGTGCTGTGCCAATATGGGTACGCTTGGCGTGGTCTACGACGTCGTTCTGCGGTTCAGGGAAATGACATCCTCCTTGGTGAGGAAATAGTTTAGATTAAGCAACTTTTAATTTGCTGTTTACAGCAAGAGAGTTTTTCACTCTTGGCCAATGGTCTTATTAGTTAAAAACTAACAAAATTTTTAAATGCTTCAGTTAAACTAGAGATTAACCGTCCCATGAATTGGTTGATTTCCCTGGGGTAAGTACAGTGGGAAAGGGTCAATTAATCATGCAAAGCTTGCAGCACAATTTCGGGTAAATTTTGTACAGGAAAGATTACTTATTCCCACAAAGTTGATTGTTATATTACTGAATGAAGGAGGTAAATAAGGCAAAAGGCAGGATAAGCACGGCTACAGTTTTGCGAATGGGAGACTGTAGTAAACTCTGTTCAGGTGTAGATTAATCTAGACTTCTTCTTCCTCGGTGCTATTAGCATTAGACTCACCTGTAGAATTAACTCTTTACGAAGAAGGTTTTGGTTCAAATTTATATGTTGTAACCGCTTTTTAATGGTAAACTATCAGAGAAAATAGGTGAACCGCATTAGTTGCAAATTCGGAGTTAATTCCGCCACCTAGGGCGACGCACAGACTACTTAGTGCAGGATTAAACCGAAACCTGCCGTCAGAAGAGTTGGAATTTAAATTTAAACATAAAACTGGCTGCAAATGGAAAACTCCTCACGAACATAAACTTTTTGGGGTAAACATACACCACAATCTCATTGCTTTAGTGATTTGGTAATGGCCAGAGTAATTTTACTTCTTGTCTTGCTTGCAATGAGAATCTGTCTGTTTTTTCCAATTTGAAGTTTCAAATGAATACCTTTTTGGCGACTTGTAAAATATGCAGTTTTCTTCAAGACAATGTGCCACCTTTTAAATAACTCGACTTTCTTCAATTGTGACTCATCTTACTGAAATCTATTGTAAGTAGTATTAAATCAAATCGTCTTGACTACTGATGAGAAAGTGCTGATCTACTCTACAATGGTCGCCTTTGAACCAATTTGACATTTCTAGGTAAAATCTTCTTCTCTGGGCTTTTTCTAACTAGATGCAGAAGAAATTTTCCGTGAAAGGAAGAATTCACCAAGGAAATTTAAAAAAGCCTTTTTATTTTATTAATTTATTGGCCGTTTCGAGATTTGGGTGTCTCGTAAAATATAAAATGAACAGGTCATTGTGGTGCCATTCAAGATAATATGCAACTTTATCGATAACTATACTTTCTTCAGCAGTTGGTATGCACATATGGCCATCTCATAACCACTTCTAAGAGTAGGGTACTTGATTTCGAAAAAAAATTTAAAAGAGTTTTGTGTGTTAAAACACTAATCACTCAATGACAAGTACACTCTACAAATAGAGGCCATAAAATATCCATGTAAGCTCGAGTTTTGTACAGTTACGGCATCATCATTAGAGGGATTAGACCGGACCTGCCTTGTCTTAAAATACGTTAATCCCTTTTCCACCCTTAGGCTAATAACTGTAGGCGCAACATAATTTCCTCCCCTAAAAGGTAACTAAGGTCAGCGTGTTGTTCGGAGCAGGGTTGTATGGATTGGAGCAACCGCCTGTGAGTGGCTGTGGGTGAGGATCCAGCAAATCTTCAGCTATAAGTACACCCTGTCCAGAAAGTGACCATTTCATACCGTATGTAAAAAAGCTGGAATATTTTAATTTGAGATTTGTAGGCGCCACAAGGGTGTTCGTTCAATGGCTGACAATTGTATGAATGCCGATTTCAATAACTATCTAGGTAGAGTTGGGGAATACAAAACTCCAAATTGTGTGACGTAATTAAGACGAGTTCATGTGGTTTTCGCCACATCATGTTGTAATGGCACTTTAACCTGCAGGAAGTGGAAAACATGTGCGGTGGTTTATCTGCGATACAAATCATAGAAAAATAATATGTCGATACAGTGGTCCAGGACTGTCTTCTTCACAAGCTGAGGAAAAATTCCTTACACGGCTGATGCAGAAGTGGAAGTGGAAACCGCTCGTCAAAATTGTTGCTGCGTCGCATTTGGAGAAAGTGTGCCATGCAGTATGCGGTAGCAGATTGAAGAACCTAAGCAATACCTCCACCGATTCTTCAATTCCGGTGATGAACTGCTCAAAGACAAATGTATTCTAATCACGAAGACCCTCTAAAGTTGATCGTGGTGGTAAGATCACAACTTGGTACTAGATTTAAAGAACTGGAGGCTAACTTGTCAAGAACTTGCCACGTCTTCAGGGATGACAGACAGCGGGCTTGAAACTTTTTCACTCAGTCGTTATCGGCTTTTTTTGCGTGCTCTTCAATACCGTGAACAAGCAAATGAGAAAATTGTGGGAAAAAGGATTCTTTTAGAGAGAAGTAGGACCAGTGAATGAGACGGTGGGGAGAAAGGTCAATTTTATTCGTGCAAAATGTAACTGCACAACACCTAAGCTCGTATCACGTACCTCATACCCCATAGCCCACACCTCTTGCCTTTTACCTCATAGAGTTTCACGAGCCCTTATCTTCACCTTCAATTTTGACTTGATAAGGTCTCCAAGATACGATTAGTGGGGGGAAGCGAAGGCAGGTAGGGTAAGGTATGCTGCTTCTAGAAACAAAGTGTTCATACGAAAGAGACACAGAGACAGTTTCCTGGTTGAATGCTGATGGTAGCTTGTGGCGGTAGATATGCCAATGGACAAAGTTTTTAAAGTGTTCACTGGAATTATTCAAATTTTCTTTTAAAACACCACATAAATTATTTGATTCGTTTTTAAAGAGAAGTTTTGGCTGCAAAAAATTGTTTGGATAGAGCTTATTTTCAAGACTTCCTTAAAGATGAAAGTAAACACGATACCTGGGTAGAATATGACTGAACATGGAGGATACTGGTATGGTCCAAAGGTACATTGCGGGGTCCTAAGCTGCCCATAACCAAAATTGGGAGTTAAACGAATTGTTAAGTTATTGCATTTCACGACAAGCCAAAAATAAAAAATTCTTAATCTCTATTTTATCCTAAACTGTTATTTAAGCCTCGTGGTCACCATATAAAGAGGGTGTTTAACAATTGTCACTATGAGTCAGTTGAATTCAGAGAACGGACCTTTTTTCTAACTCAAAGGGCTCTCAAATAAACAAAGTTAAAGAAAACTCCTGTGTCTAGTGGCCAAAAAGTTTGCGCCTACTTTGGTGCAGTTCGATGCAAAAAATTACTGGAACTTGCGTCCTTTGATTTATCATCGGCAAGGTAATACTTGCTATCCTCTGTGCTACTCGTCCCTTATGTTCAACGTCCTCGAAAAGTAAGACAAAACCAGGTCCTTTTAATAATTTATGCTGACATTTAATCATAGTAACTACTCAAACCGTGAAGATAAGGTACCAGATCGAATTCCACTGAGGGAGAACTAGAAGGCTTCTATTGCTTGATACTTGATTAAAGGATGTACAAGTCCATTTCATATTTTAGGTAGAATATGACTTTCAAACCTGGTGCAAAATCATTACTCATGAGTCCCTTAAATACTCCTTCCGGCATAATGATCTTACGGAGCTTATCTACGTGCCATACAATCACTTGCAACCGGAAGAGAGCCTTCGGAAGGACTGGATGCCCTTTCAAGATGAAGTGATCGTTCGCTGGACCAAACGTCTACCCACAATCTACTCGGAGGACCTAGACAGCGCACCTCGCCATCGTTTCCACATTATCGATCCATTCACAGGTCCCGACCAACGTGAGATTGTTTCCTACCCAGAACGAACTCCTCATCTCTTGGGTCGGGCATACCGTGTGTTGAAGTCGAAGCTGCGACATGTCAGTCTGGAATCTCAATTCACGCCTTGGGCTATGACCTGTCTCGCTCCACCACCTTCGCCTCTCCGGATGATTCGATTTGCTATCGAAACAAGCTGCTCCATGGATCCATTCTTTAAGGTGAGGTCATCAACAGATAAGATCAAATCGGGGCTTGATAAGCCTTTTTTTGATGACTTTTTTTGATGTGGTCCTTAGCGAATAGGGAGTGGTGATACGCTTTGTGTGAATTTAAGCCAAAGCAAGGGATTTTTAATGTCTGGAGATCGCATTTTATAGTGAATGACTTAAAATGGTGAAATAATTTTTGGAATGCTGTGCACTTGTTTAAAAACCAAACAACAATTTTGCTAAATAAAATTACCCTAACTGCAACGAAAAAAGGACTCAGTTAGGGAATACACACTTAAAATCATGCATCGGGACTAAGCAAATGGATTTCTTACAATCGGGGCGATTTCCCCTTGCAAGTTTACCCCTGAAGGGAAGGAAAATTGACTTCCGGTGCTTGGGAGGCATGCATTTTTCAGGCGAGTGAATTTTTAGACAGATACAGGAAGTAGTCCACCATTTCCGTTAGCTGCCATGGTTCTGGGTGCTGTATGCTTATACGAAGTCGTCCATACATATGTTAAAATAAAAGTAGCTTGTTGCTCTACAGACAAAAGCAATGACTTGCCCTACTTCATAGGCAATAGGAAGCTGTATGCAATTGTTTGGAGGTGAGTAGTATGAGGTAAGGATATGCCAAAGTTCATTGGTATGGTACTACGCTTTGTAACCTCTACTGCCTGTCTGTCATTTTGAACCCTCATATCACGAAGAAGCAGTCCAGTCCTTTGAAATGCAAACCAAAATTCTTTATTTACGAAGAGAGTTTAAGTTGGTCGCATAGCTGATATAGAAATAGGTGTAGAAGCCTCTCGACAAAGCAGTTGCGTTGCGTTTGGAGAGGGACCTCCATGCAGTATATGGTAGCAGAACAACGTGGCTCAACAACGTACCTCACCGAAACTTTTAATAATTTATTATATTCCTATCATCAAACAATTCCGAGACCCTCTAATGCCATTCATCGTGCATGGAGCAGTACGTGCCAATGTGGATTGAAATGGTTAGAGGTGAATTTGTCAAGAACTTGCTGTCATGGTTAGCGTAGTAATTTTTTTCTCAAGCACTTCAATTCCATTTTTTACCTCAGCTCTAAAATTGGAAGTAAAATTTCTGCCCCAAAGAAAGGGCTAACCAGCATTTGTTTTCGGAAACTCCCTAAAAGAGGTGAATTTCTGATTCACACAATCTATTCACTAAACTTATCTTCTTTTTTCCAACCAAAATGGAATAATATGCCTGAATGCATTTTGATCACACTGAAGGGAAGAATGGACCTTGGATCCTCATTTCATAACACTGGCAACTTTGACAATGAAAAGGTGCTTAGAATTTGCAAACTGTTGTAAAATATCACGATATTTTAAATTTACCTGCAAATTACTGCATCAAATCTACAAAAAGCTTGGCCGCCTTATCGGAGTTGGTTGAGTAATGATAGCTGCCTAGGCTATGAAAGTTTAATGCTAATGCATCCAATCTTGTAACAGTGTGTAGGTAAATTACAGAGTAGCATTTGATCAGACTGCATTATAATCGCGAAGGTCTACTGTTTTTTATTTCTTGCAAAAATAATCTAATATTTCATTTTGAATTGACATAATCCAATGGAAATACCTGTTATCCATTGACTGTTTGTTTAAGTCTTCATTTTGATTTTGCAAGCACTTGGGGCTCCGCCGATAGTGCTTCTGGTGAGCAGTAGAGTCTCCAAACCTAACCAGGTGCCTCCTGGCCCTTCTCCATGTCGAAAATACATTTTCTGCCCTTGCATTATAATTTCTTTCAGTTTTAGGCGTGTCCTAAGTGACTATCATGCCATCACATCCTTAAAGCTATACTATTTGATGAAAAAGGTAAATTGTCCACTGCGGCTTTGAATCCGTTTTCCTCCTTAAAAAATTACATAATTTAATGCAGAATAATTAAACAAATCAGTGAGTGAGGCAAAATGCTTATGGTAGAGAGAGTTCCCGAGCCTGTATTTAGATACGCAAGTGGAATTTTGCCACAATCATTGTTCGACAGAGAGCTCTGCTATTGTTCAAGAAGTAGCAGTTTTATGGAAGAAAATAAACTTAACAAACAAAATGCCTTCCGGCCGTGGAAATGGCAATGAGGAATATCTTGTATTAAGCAACCAACAACATATTGTTATGTGCAGGGGTAAGTAATTTCTTCCTCCGCTTCCCTGTCAAAAGTCACCGTAATGATTGAAGGACGATGCACGTAATATTGCCATCTGAAAAGGGAAACGCTTTGAAGCTACAAAAATGCCTCTCAAGCAAAGACTAGACATTACTTAAAACAAATACCTTTTAAAGGTTTCCTGACTACTGAATAACCGAATTGGTTTACATTAACAGGGTCCAAGTTTCAAACGCTATAATTTAAATTCCACTGTGTAAAGCAATGGTTATGAATGAATTGCAGAGTCGTGAGACTTCCCTAAAGACGAAGGAAAACAACACCGGGACAGAAAATGTACCGCTGACCTACAGAAGGGGTTAGGAGCAACCGACGTTGCCTGAAGGGTCAGGTCTCCTGGCAAGGGTACATTGGCGGAGCCCTAGGTGGCCTGTTACCGAAATTGGTAGTTAAACAAACAATTTGAGCTTGAAAAATTATGCAGTTTGGTGCGTTACGAGTCCTCTCTGAATTTTGTCATTTGATCAAGTGGTATGGAAGGAGACCAGAAGGCTGCCAGCCTGGTCCGAAGGCCGTGTTGCAGAGCGGAGTGTAGTCTGCAGGGAGTCAAGTAGTTGCCTGGTAAACCCACAGCTTGACAAAATTACTGGTGGGCGCGGAATGGACACCACTGAATTAAGACCTTAAGATGAATCTAATAGAATGATCCTACAGCGTTTGAATTTGCTCTGAAGACACCAGGTGATGTACAACTTAGAAGGAGACTGAAGATCTAACGGAATGTTACCGGAGCTGTCGTGAACAGGAAGCCATGAGACCAAGATGGTAACTGCAACTATCACCGTATAAAGAGCTCGCCCCGATGAAAAGGCAACTTAAACAGCTACCGTACCACCACACTTCAATTAAAAGATTCCCTTAAATGTAATTAGTCTCTCCTCTTAGGCTTCCAACTCTACGAAAAATGGGCTTTATGGAGTGACTGTGGGATTCCAATTGACTTCTTTATTGTCAGTGATTAAAAAGCCTGATAATAATTTTGCATGAGTCCTACGACCACGGATAAACGCTGAGCCTATTGTTGTGTTTCCTAAGAGCTAAAAACTTTTCATACTCCTGGCATTAATTGCCCGCTAACAAAAGCTTATATACGTGGAATCAGCACCGTTTGAATCCTGTTGACTGGTAAGCTCTCCACTCACGACTGCTTGAATAGCTGAAACGCAAAGAAGAATAAAATCCTGTAAACCCGAGGGCAAAGTTCTGGTAAATTCGTTTTAACCATTTTAGATAAATTATCTTCCTTTTAAGCTTTGACGGTTGATCCTGCAAAATGTCTCTCGGTGAGTTAATTACACCATGTCTGCTCTAATTTGACCACTGAAGTTGTTATTTCTTCATTCATGGAATTCTTTTCACTGACTAAGAAGGAACTTAGGTGTCGTCTTAATTTTCACCAAATTCCAAAAAGCCCTAGACAGTATCCACGAGGTTCTTTTCCACCTTTAAGGACGTAGTGATTAACGGAAAAAGAGGAGTAACAGAGAAAGTAAAAGAGCTTGACAGTTGTTAAGACTTTCCTGCACTGAGGTGTAAACGACTTAACTGTGGGTTTGGTAATTGACGGAATAAAAAAGCATCCGTACAATGCAGTGGGCTCGAAGGGCCAACTTCCTTACTTGACATGCAAAATAGACAATTATGAAGTAACTGAGTAAATTCCAGTAGAGTGAAAATCAAGTAACGCCATAGACTTTGAAATATCCTATCCTCTGCGGCAATAATCATTCCTTTGCTAATTGTCACTTGGGGGAAATTTTCCATCGGTGAATGCGGAGAGTGAAAGAGATGGCAGAAAGGAGGTGAGAGCACCCACTATCCCCCATTTTATTCTGATGTCCGGTACGAGGCCTTGCCTACTTTGGACTTGTAAGGGTAAGGTGTGGTCTTCCTTTCCGCTGACCTATTTACTAGATTCGGCTGTACCCCAAGTAAAAAAAGACTTCCTCATGGATTTTCGGGACGTGTCGAGTTTTACCGGGTAGAGGAAACCTAGTCGTGGTTGGTTTGATGGTTTTTGGTAAGCCGACATTGATGACTGCAGTGGGCCACAACACCCTTCTGGGAATGATTTAGTGTTAGCCCCAGAAGTGTGAGATTAGAGGTAGGGTAGAAGACAATGTATTCATTTGTAATGAGAATTTCAATCTCCAAAGTGAATTCGTCTGTCTGTCGGTCGGCAAACAACCCAAAAAGTATGGCGCACCATAAAGACTTAAGGGAAAAGAAGTGAAAAGCAAAGAAGCTATTTTTCAAACTCACGGTCTGACAACTTTTAATTAGTGGGATTTGACATGTAGGTGCTTAGTAACTTCTACGAATTTCCTTTCTCACTTTTGTCAATCAGTGACACGTGTTACTCTGTTTGTCTTGATCAAAAATAGAGGATCTATTTACAAGTATGATACATCTGCTTTTGAGTGGTTCATCACCCAATTCAAATGGCTTGATCTCTTTGCCTGGAATCTGTTTCTCTGTTCCCCCTGTACTTGCTGTTATCTTATTTTAGCAGCTTTGACTGCTGCTTTTTTATTCAAGGGTTCAAAATACCGAGAAAATGGTGAAGAGAACTGCCAAGTGTTGTACCAATAGACTGAGGCATATCTATGCCCAAGGCTAATGTGGCTAAAACTGTCATCCAGTAGTTCATGTGAACTGATACAACACCCCAAGGTTAAAGGTCAAGGCAATCAGTAATTTAGGGTGAGAGTTATCTAAATAGAAGAGTGAAGGTTGCCTAAGGCACTGTATGTGTGAATTGAGCTGACACAACAGAAACATCTGTCGTCCCAACTGGCATAAGGAGCTACTGGACATGCATAAAATTTGCCCACGAATTCGATTGTAATTTCTCACTCTTTTTCACTGGTCAATGCGTAATGGTTCTCCTTCAAAGCCATTACTTACTTTGATGAAATTACTTAAAAGCCCTGAAAATAGCAATAAATTTTTATGAAACAATAAGCTGGAGGTCGTCCTAAAATACACGCCACTCAACACATCCTAATTTGCAGTAGTACTAAATCCATCCACATAGGTAGGTTGCCAAGTGAAAATGCCAATAGATGTGCACTGACATGTAAAAACTATTTTTTGACAACATTGAAAGACACTTTAATTAATAAATTCTTCTTCTAAGCTGTGTCCAGTCAATTCGCTTTGATTCCAGTTGATGTTTAGATAAAAATGGCTGATCAAAAGTTGCTCCTTTGGTGGCAACTGAACGGCAGAACTTGAAAGGGAGAAGGTGAAAAGGCAATCGCACTACCAGGACATAAGCTGACTATCGTAACGGGAGTAATCCCATCAGAACCTCTCCAAGGGATGGAGAACGTGTTTCCAAATGTCTATGAAAACATAGATTAATTGTCAAAACCTCTTTTAAGACCATAGTTGTATGTCCAATTGTAAATGCCTGAGTTGATCTTTCCAATTTCATTCTACTAGTTCATAAAAACATTACTGGAGGCCCTGATGTATATGATACGAAATGAGGAGGGTGAGGAGGCTTGTCACGGGCTAAATCTCTTCATGCGCGTCAATTTCACTGGAGGCAATCGAAGCGCGAAGGTGATGGGCACAGGCTCATTAAACCCCACCGAGGCACCGGGTCGTCGGCTTATCGTACACATCACCTTTGCGCATCTGATGCGTTCCTGTAGCTCGGAGGATTGGTGCGATCTCGTCAGTCGTCTAACTAATTTTACATTCACCTTCATCCCGCAATCAACGCTGCACTGGAAATCGGAGTGGTATACACTTCAGGTATGACCTCTTCTCTAGTCTTAATCAACTGCGAGGTTATCAGTTGAGGATCTTTTTGGTACTAGGATAAAAACATGAGTGACAGATTCTTTAGGTCTCCCTCAGTACGCACTTTTTAGCCCCCTCCTTACTCAATTACCGATGGATTATTTTTTTAATAGCACTCCTTTTAAAGTGAACGCCTCCTTTTTTAGATGTCATAGGATGAGGCCGATTTAAAGGTGGACTAGAAAACTAGGGGTACAGATAACCAAGGATGTGTTTAAAGCCAAACTAAGGTGAAGTTGAAGCAATTATACAGATCCTACCCCAAGTAATGACCACTAAATTTATGGTGATAGAGTTAGAGAGCTGATTCCAGTTCAATAGCCTTTTGATGATCCTCTTAACGACTGAATAAAATCTAATCGGTACACCAAAATCGAGCCCTTTTGACACATTTACTACTACTACTTCAGAGACTACATCACTTAATTTATCCTTTTGAAAGTTGATGGTAAGTCAACTTCTTATTCCACAATTATGCCACCGGTTCTAATTTATTTAACATTTTCCTCTGCTTCCATCCTGATGACATCAAATAAGTGATTTTAATCCGGACCTCTAGCCCTAGTAGACGACCAGAAAGTTGGTATAGTCAGTAGTCTTACTTCCTACAATATGCATGCCCTATTAAACACTGACATGTCTTTGTCCACTGATACAGTGCTCTTCGCTCTGCATTCTGCTACTTGCCATTATTTTGAACCTCTATACCATAAAATTGGGGTTTAGAACTTGTCCGAATTAAAAGCCAAATTCGACTCAATTCCACAGTCAAATCAAAAGTAAGAAATTCGCTTCGGACTCGTTGCCGACCACCTTAAGAAGATTTGGCCTACTATAGCAAAAAACAGCTTCCCACACAAAAGTAATTCAAAGACATTGTTTGCTTTTGATAATGAATCATTCAACGATGGGCCCACCGTGTCCATGACGGTCCTCACTCCCTCATCGTCTAGTGCTTGTAGCCATATTTAACGTAGACATTCGAAAAGTTTGCTGTCATCTGCACCAAGTGGAAAGGGAAGGTCGCAGAAGATGCGGGGCAGACAGATTAAGGGATGAGAGACAATAGGTTTAAGGGTCTATGACTTCGCTACTGTCATCTCGTATATTTAGGATTATTTTCTAAGTGACAGATGGAGAGTTTGTGACATGAGGTGACCTCGCACTCAACTTCTAACTTGTCACTGGTTGGCACCAAAAGATTCACTACCCTAATACCCACCTCACACCTTGAAGACCCCTACTGTTTCTCTGCCCAATGGATGTACATATTTCCAGTGTGCTTTTTTCGTCGAAATGTTGGTCTACATGTTTACCAGATGTCGTTGCTGAAAGTCAACTTCTCAGCACTGAAATCTTTCTGCTCGCCAAAGCTTTAAGACGCTTAAGAAGAACCGGTCCAACGCAGAAAGGTAGTCAATTGTAAGAAAGGTTGCTCCTTATTCTTACAACACTGCACAAGATCTGGTGCCTAATACCATTTCAAAAATTACCTGTGAGAAGATTTGCATTCCAGATTGGGAGAGGGGGGAGATTGTACCCCATCTCCTATAATTTCCGTGACATGTCTTGATACCACCGGTAAGCATTTGCAAATGAATTAGATGAGACTGTCGTTGGGGCAGGGTTCCTGCTTCTAGAGTGAAAAGAATGACGGATTGTGATGTTGGCAGTGTCGGTAGGTGATAACCGCGCGTTCCTGTTTGGCCACCTTATGAATGCTAAGACATGGTGTTGGGTTTCTTGAAATCGTTTACTACATTTATTGAATTGGGACAAAACCTAAAAAGAGCAGCTTAAACATCTTGATTTAAATGAGGAATTGTATGCATTGTTACATCAAGAAGGCTAGAAAAAGTACCAAAAGTCACGATTTTTATGAGAAATTAGACTTCAAGACAAACGCGAATAATTTTGACGGGTAGCTCAAGTTATTCAGTTGGTGTGAATGATTTGGCAACACCGCAAATGATATCTACGTTTCTGCATGATTAATGGATCTGCTGTTGAACTGTCCTGATTTTCGAGAATTATTTGCATGCCTCCTCTGAGGCGGCTAAATTAAGCAATGACCGAGTGAACTTAAAAGTACCTCTTCAAAACGAGGCTCTAAATTTTGGAATTCATCTCTAAGTTTTATCGTTCTTATTCACAAATTCTTCGATTTCATAAAGCTGATTGAAATAAAAGTTAAAATTCGTGAAAGCACAATTGACCACCGGGGAGATGTATCCATTCTGACCGCAATTTTGGAGATGCAACCATGAGATAGATTGTGATTTATATCACCAACTTTGGGAGCCATTCCACCATCCCTAACAAATTGCAAGTCAAGTTTCATTAAGCTTAGGTGGCAGGGGGCAGGATTAGACACCAACACTGATTAGGGAGAGGAAACTAGATGGTCTTACTAAATAAAATATAAATAAATATCCCAATGAAATTAATGGTGTTTGATAAATACCTGAAGATTATCCTTGATTAAATAATAATGAACTATTCGATTTGTGGGAAAGTTTTCAAATAATTAAGAAAAATACAATTTACATTAATATCCATCTGGAATCAAGCCGATCCACAGCCCCCTATGCAGTAAGATAGCTACTTTTTTCTGTCGTAAAACTCTTGAATTCTTGGCTCTTTCCTCTAAAACCCTAGTTAGGGAGTTCATTCTGATAGTTATAATTTATTTCCTGGTAGGCCTGATTAAAAAAATTAATTATCCATATCGTCTACTAGGGAAAGGCGAGTGCATACAACCCACTACTTCAAGGCCGATTTAGGTCGGGGTAAAGATCTTCTAAATTCAAGGCCAACAACTTTGCGAGTTAATCCGCATTGAATTTGCATTGGGTTCTGCCCATCCAACTCAGGCCAGACCTCTGCGTCTTACATAAAAAAGCAAGTAGCTGTCCATTCGTAATTTTTTTTTAAATCTCATATGCTTTGAGCTGGCTTCAGGCCACCAAAAGATACAACACATTCGTGCTCATGAACAGCAGTTAAACAAGGTACAACTCATAGAGGGACAATTTTTTTTAGCCCAGTTCCCAGCTGAAGCGAATGAAGGTGTTTCCCCCTTCATTTTAGCAGTATTGTTTTAGCTCTCTTGAAGTGAGCCACGCCCACCATATGAAACATTTCGTTTTACCTGATGCTTCTACTGCAACTTCTGGATGAACATCTGGTAGAAGGGAATGAAATTCAATTAAGCGAGAGTAAAATGCTAGAACCAGTAAGGATGTGTACCTAAAATATCCATTTAAATTTTTAGTTTCGATGTGTTTGATAGAAATTCCGGTATACGGTTGCAACTATTTATGTGGTCAAATTAAAGGAATTTTAAATTAGGCGCAAAATTTGTCAGGCTTAGAGATTAGCTTCAAAATACCCCCCAAAACTGGTGCGTTGGCAGGAAAAAATGCATTAATTCACTAGAATTTAATAAGTTAAGTGGTCTTCTATTTAGAATAACAAATAATCAAATTTGACAATCCACCAAGAACAAGAGAGAAAATTAATTTTTAGTGGCAGGAAACTTCTAAAGACTCATTGACTTGAGTTGAACGAAAAGTAAGCATACTTCGTAACATGGTACTATTTTCCCTCAATTGTGGCCATCCACATGTCTCTACCTTGATTACCTATGCTACTAAATAACGGGCAATAGTGTCGTATCGCCTCTAGCCCACCCTGAAAACCAAAGAAATCATAACACTAGGGCAGAATGTGTATTAGCAAAGTACAGAAGAGCTAGAGGTCGACTGACGGGCTGGAAGCTACGCCGCCTGGCGGAAGTGCAATGGCGGGACCCTAAGTGCCTGTGAGAACAAAAACGACGACTTAGTTAAACTATCAAAGCATTAGATGCCAACCAACTGCACCAGCCATCAATGTTTGTGTCCAACTGAGTTGCTGGTTGAACACAACGGCATTTGTTCCTCTCTGTAATTCCTTTGGAACTGGGGTTCCGTTCTCTTTGGGAGCTATATTAGGGGAAGGAGAAATGTGCTGCCTATCTCGTATGTTCATCGTCATTTGGAAGAACACTAGTTAAAAAAAATATCCATTCAATAATGGACGGAGTTTTAAATAGTTCTGTGGAGATGTGGTTTTGCGCCTATTCCTCCTTGTCACTTTGTGCTAAATTCCGTGCTGCTCAGCCATCTCTGGTAGATGGAAGAGATGTTTCATGTGCAATTAATTGGCATCCTCACACAGATATCGTAGACAGCCCAGTAGCGAACTATTCCAGATGGTTCAGGACCATGGCTAATGTCTCTTTGGCTGTTGATACCATTTCTGCAGAGGAGAGGACTGAAGTGTTTCTCAAAGGTAGACGTCATTAGTAACGTCTTTGCTAGAAGTCTTCACTGATTTTCGCATCCATAGAATCTGAACTTCTTCCGCCACGTTAAGGTTTGGCATTTTATTTATAGAAATCAAGGAAGCTTTTCTTTATGTGTGGGTTTGCTTTTTGCTGCCACCAATGTAGCGTCGCCAGTCTTTCCTGGGGTTTTACCAACGCATCACCCGGAGGCTATGCCGCTGGGCGAAAGCATAGAGGCAGAGCATTAAATGTCCGCCTAGCCATAAGCGAGACTAACGCAAACACCCAAGGCATTAAAATTAAGCTGCATTCTAAAGTCTTTGCAGGATTAGTTAGGGTGTTTGATGGAGATATGCTTGAGAATTGATAAAGTTGAAATGTGCTAACCTTTTTGAACCTCCTAAATCACAAGTATACTGAAAGTGGAAACCGAAGACAAAAATAAGCACTTTCTGCCCAAGAAACTACTCCGTCAAGTCGCCAACTTTAATTCTCGACCTTACAAGTTGCTATCCACAAATTTTAATCTCCTTTCCCCATCAGGACAGCCTCATGCAACCTCACGGCGTTTATTCTTAAGGCGACAATTTATGCAAATCTTGCGCACTTTTTAAGGGCAAAAAACGCATCTCTTCCGTTAAGACAGTTGCATGCTCTTTTTAAGTTAAGCCGATCACACTCCTGTGCTAAAACTAGGTCTCTTAACGGATTGAAGTCATTTCTGCGAAATAGACCAAGAATTTATTTTCTGAATTAAGGGGTTTTCTTCAATCCCCTTTTTTACTGTGATTACCTTTGAAAATGATAAGTTGATGGTTTAATAAGTAAAAAATGATGCCAAATTTTGTGGTTTTTAACTGGAGGTTAATTTAGGTTGGAATGGACTGATTGACTGAATGCTTACCACAAGTAGTTAGTTAAAGCGAAGTGGCGCCCTGAGACCATCTTAGAGACAAAAGAAGTCACAACACTTGGGCAGAAATGTATTGCAGAAGTACAAGAGGACTAGGGACCAATGGCCTTGCCCGGGGACCTTTCCACCCAGCGGTATCCGCGTCACCAAAACCGAGAGTTAAACGATTAATCATAGCATTACAATATTTGCCAAATTTGGTTATTTTAACTTTAATGGCCAGGTTTATACTTAAAAGAAGTGAAGACATAAAGTTCTTTATTTGCACCAAATTTTTGTCAGGTTCTTGCTAAACCGAATCCATCAAGATGATGGGATTTATGATTTAGTTTCATTTGTATAAGGTTGAAACTGAATGCTACCTATGATCCACGCAGTCAATGTAAAATTCGCACTTGGCTGAAATTTGCAAAATTAGTTTTTGCTCATTTTTCTTTAACCAAAGAAAAGTAACTCAATGTTTATGAACCATAAAATAAATTCCTTCAAGACTTCATCCTTTCTGAACTCAACCTTCCATTTGTTTAGAGTTGAAAAAAGAGGACATCAGACAGAAAAAAATCAACTTCATGCACAAAGCAGAGTATTCTGCTGTCAAGAAAGTAGCCTGGGAGCATCATAACACCGCAAGGATGACTTACAATCGTCCCAAGCGAATTATCGTCCGCATTATTTAGTGAATGTCTATCATTACTTAATCTATACACTTGGTACGGTGTCTAGGAAAGTGGATATGGGATATCAAATTTCCTGTGGGCGGTGGTTGCAAAAAGTATTTTCACTAACCACAAATTAAGCCGCCTGACTGATAAATGAGCTCTTTGCGAAGACAATCTCCTAAACTTGACTTGACTTCGCTCCCATTTCTAGAGGCGCTGAAACCAGAAAGGGAAATTCTTACCTACCCTTTCGTGCCTCTAGGGACAGTTTTTTCCAAACCACTCAGTATAAGGAGCAGTGCTTGGTAGGGCGAGAGTGGGGACGGGATAACTACCTTACTGGGCAAAAAGGGCAATACATGACACCCCATCATCACGTGTTGAGGGCGATGCTCCGACCAGGAGCAATACTCCACTAACCTTCCCTCGGGCTTGTAATTATAGTGTGTGATGGAGGTCTTGGGTCTTACAGTAATGACGAGATAATAGTAGTCTTAAAACGAGTACCAAAGGAGACGTTTCCAAGTAATCTACTTCACGTTGGAGATTATTTAAGGAAAATATAAAAGCAAAGGGCTTAAATATTTAGCACTAATACTTCATAAGTAAGTCAAATTCAAGAGTTGTCTCCTAATTTGACAAATTAAATTTCCACTTTTGGAAGTGGTTTAGAACAACCTTGCCTTCATCTCTGAGAGTGACTAATTAATCGCCGCATGCAAAACACTATGGGACTGGAAACCAGATGGGATGTCATTAGAGGGACTCGTAAATGGAAACGCATGCTCACCATTTCGTCATTATCAATTATTTCTCCTTATTTTTTTGCATTTCTTATCGGCGTGTATCCAAAGATGACAAAAGTTCAGCGAATATTGTAGAATTTCCGAAGGAAATGTTTAGCAGCTTAGACGAGACATCTCTTTCTACTCTAAATAGTAGCCGAAGAAAAATTTTGAGACTAGCTATTGTAATAGTCTTTCCAACTTCTGTTAACTTCCTGCAAAATTCTAGGATGATGCCTGAGGAAGGGAGTTCACAGTAGGCCTTATTGAACCTACAACGCGGGAGCATAAAATTCAAAACAATTTCTCTGTCCTGCCGTGTTCTCACTTTATTTTTGCCAAGTCATAGCTGTTTGGATTCTATCTAGCTTGAAGAGAGGTAGAGAAGGCAGCTCCTGTGGACTGTCGACTCTATTGACGTGGACAGCTCCGTAACGGACTTTTCCTGAAGATTCACGGCCACGACTGGTGCCGCTGGCTTTACTTGTAAATAGCAGCCCTGCAGAACATTGGACTGCTGTGGTTGCCGAAGGTAGACGCCAATGGCAACCCTTCTGTTAGAGATTGTCACAGATTCTCCCATCCGCAGCATATGCTCTCCTTCCGTCACGTTAAGCTTTAGCATTCAGTACTAGGAATTAGGCGGTTGTCCTTTAGGATTGGGTTTGCTTTACGCAGCCGTCATTGTAGCAATCGCGTCATTCTTGAAAACGAAAAAGCTCATAATACTAAAACAGAATATGTAATTTCGACCAGCTGGAGCACAATTGGGCAAGCCTTAAGTTCCCGGGTAGCCAAAGCAAAGAGTATAAGTAATTAAGACAATACAATATGCTTGGGTGTTTCCTTTAAAAATTTATAACTTTTGTGTCAGAAAATAATTCCGATGTTAAAATAGAAAAAAGCTTAGCCAGTAGCTGTTTGGAAGGCACGAGCATAGTCCATGGCGCCAGTGCGTGCAGCAAATAACGAGAGTTTGGAAGATTCGAGGTCGGAAATACAATTCCACTGGGATCCTTTTCACCCTCACTTTGTTATACTTTTCTGAGGCTTTTGTAAAACAGATTTGAGTTTGTTTATTAGTACTATTCTGCTTAATTCTAACCTTGTTCCTCAACTTTAGAAGCTGATCCAACATATTCATGAGAAGACGGCTCCACGTACGGGTCCTCTGCGTTTCCAAATGTGCCGCGCTGATCGAGAAGGTATGTTTTTGACAGAGAGCCTCCAACAAATCTTCTTCCGGTCAGGCACCACAAAGCAGTGCAAATATCGTAGGGAAAGGGAGAGGTTTATTCGAGACGAACTCGCATGCGTGGATATTCCCTATTCCTCGCCTTGCAAGTGTGTAGTCCATGCCGTGTTCCCTTAAACAGCATCATAGCTTACAATCCAGTGAAGTGGAGGATTAAAAATGCCCAATTCGGTTTGTGCTCACTGGGTCTAATGCCTCGAAATCTCAGTTCTATAAATGTGCCGATGAAAAATAAAAACACGTCGTGATACTACCAGTTGTGCTGTTAATTTTTACTTTTTCAGCCAAATTCAGTAAACACTAGGTTGTAAAAATTGCCTCATCTGGATTCATTTAAAAGGGGAGTTTTAAATGAATGACGGTTGGAAAATTATAGCAGCCATTAAAATCTCTTACCACCCTGGTTGTTGGCCTGGCAGCCTGCATTACGCTTTGGAAAGAGGCGCCTGCTTGATAAACGCCTAGCAATTATTTTCTGCACATGTCTTGGGAATTTTTTGCACAGAGTATTAGACTAGACAGTGGTTGAGCCAATCAAGACTGTCAATTTAATGCTTTACCTGCTTGTTTAATCGTTCAATTGGGTTTTGCAAGCATGGAATATTCCGCCTTTTGGCCTTCAAGCCTTGAGGGTAGCCACTAACCCTTCTCTCCGCAGTAAACATATATTTTGCCCCAATGTTATAGACCCTATTTGTTTTCTGCAAAGACTTGAGTGAGTGCATTGGTGGCAGAGAAAGGCAAACCTGATCTAAACAGATAATAATCCAGATTTACCTTTTTGAATTCTAAAGCTTAACGTTAGGAAAAAAGGACATGGGCTGTAGATGAGAGAATCTGTGGCGACATCTCAGCAATCACCCTAGTCCCCTGTTCTACAGGACTGCTACTGACAATTAAATTCTCTTATGGAGCTACCCATCGAAGCCGTGCAAAGATATCAACTAAGTGAACATGTAGCACCCTCCCCCTAAACCTCTCTACTAAATGAAACCCAGAAAGACATCGCTGATCAACACTGAAGTGAGAACAAGTTGGCGAGGAGGAATAGACGCAAAGCCTCGTCTCATAAAAAAAATATCCATTCAATAATGGACGGAGTTTTAAATAGTTCTGTGGAGATGTGGTTTTGCGCCTATTCCTCCTTGTCACTTTGTGCTAAATTCCGTGCTGCTCAGCCATCTCTGGTAGATGGAAGAGATGTTTCATGTGCAATTAATTGGCATCCTCACACAGATATCGTAGACAGCCCAGTAGCGAACTATTCCAGATGGTTCAGGACCATGGCTAATGTCTCTTTGGCTGTTGATACCATTTCTGCAGAGGAGAGGACTGAAGTGTTTCTCAAAGGTAGACGTCATTAGTAACGTCTTTGCTAGAAGTCTTCACTGATTTTCGCATCCATAGAATCTGAACTTCTTCCGCCACGTTAAGGTTTGGCATTTTATTTATAGAAATCAAGGAAGCTTTTCTTTATGTGTGGGTTTGCTTTTTGCTGCCACCAATGTAGCGTCGCCAGTCTTTCCTGGGGTTTTACCAACGCATCACCCGGAGGCTATGCCGCTGGGCGAAAGCATAGAGGCAGAGCATTAAATGTCCGCCTAGCCATAAGCGAGACTAACGCAAACACCCAAGGCATTAAAATTAAGCTGCATTCTAAAGTCTTTGCAGGATTAGTTAGGGTGTTTGATGGAGATATGCTTGAGAATTGATAAAGTTGAAATGTGCTAACCTTTTTGAACCTCCTAAATCACAAGTATACTGAAAGTGGAAACCGAAGACAAAAATAAGCACTTTCTGCCCAAGAAACTACTCCGTCAAGTCGCCAACTTTAATTCTCGACCTTACAAGTTGCTATCCACAAATTTTAATCTCCTTTCCCCATCAGGACAGCCTCATGCAACCTCACGGCGTTTATTCTTAAGGCGACAATTTATGCAAATCTTGCGCACTTTTTAAGGGCAAAAAACGCATCTCTTCCGTTAAGACAGTTGCATGCTCTTTTTAAGTTAAGCCGATCACACTCCTGTGCTAAAACTAGGTCTCTTAACGGATTGAAGTCATTTCTGCGAAATAGACCAAGAATTTATTTTCTGAATTAAGGGGTTTTCTTCAATCCCCTTTTTTACTGTGATTACCTTTGAAAATGATAAGTTGATGGTTTAATAAGTAAAAAATGATGCCAAATTTTGTGGTTTTTAACTGGAGGTTAATTTAGGTTGGAATGGACTGATTGACTGAATGCTTACCACAAGTAGTTAGTTAAAGCGAAGTGGCGCCCTGAGACCATCTTAGAGACAAAAGAAGTCACAACACTTGGGCAGAAATGTATTGCAGAAGTACAAGAGGACTAGGGACCAATGGCCTTGCCCGGGGACCTTTCCACCCAGCGGTATCCGCGTCACCAAAACCGAGAGTTAAACGATTAATCATAGCATTACAATATTTGCCAAATTTGGTTATTTTAACTTTAATGGCCAGGTTTATACTTAAAAGAAGTGAAGACATAAAGTTCTTTATTTGCACCAAATTTTTGTCAGGTTCTTGCTAAACCGAATCCATCAAGATGATGGGATTTATGATTTAGTTTCATTTGTATAAGGTTGAAACTGAATGCTACCTATGATCCACGCAGTCAATGTAAAATTCGCACTTGGCTGAAATTTGCAAAATTAGTTTTTGCTCATTTTTCTTTAACCAAAGAAAAGTAACTCAATGTTTATGAACCATAAAATAAATTCCTTCAAGACTTCATCCTTTCTGAACTCAACCTTCCATTTGTTTAGAGTTGAAAAAAGAGGACATCAGACAGAAAAAAATCAACTTCATGCACAAAGCAGAGTATTCTGCTGTCAAGAAAGTAGCCTGGGAGCATCATAACACCGCAAGGATGACTTACAATCGTCCCAAGCGAATTATCGTCCGCATTATTTAGTGAATGTCTATCATTACTTAATCTATACACTTGGTACGGTGTCTAGGAAAGTGGATATGGGATATCAAATTTCCTGTGGGCGGTGGTTGCAAAAAGTATTTTCACTAACCACAAATTAAGCCGCCTGACTGATAAATGAGCTCTTTGCGAAGACAATCTCCTAAACTTGACTTGACTTCGCTCCCATTTCTAGAGGCGCTGAAACCAGAAAGGGAAATTCTTACCTACCCTTTCGTGCCTCTAGGGACAGTTTTTTCCAAACCACTCAGTATAAGGAGCAGTGCTTGGTAGGGCGAGAGTGGGGACGGGATAACTACCTTACTGGGCAAAAAGGGCAATACATGACACCCCATCATCACGTGTTGAGGGCGATGCTCCGACCAGGAGCAATACTCCACTAACCTTCCCTCGGGCTTGTAATTATAGTGTGTGATGGAGGTCTTGGGTCTTACAGTAATGACGAGATAATAGTAGTCTTAAAACGAGTACCAAAGGAGACGTTTCCAAGTAATCTACTTCACGTTGGAGATTATTTAAGGAAAATATAAAAGCAAAGGGCTTAAATATTTAGCACTAATACTTCATAAGTAAGTCAAATTCAAGAGTTGTCTCCTAATTTGACAAATTAAATTTCCACTTTTGGAAGTGGTTTAGAACAACCTTGCCTTCATCTCTGAGAGTGACTAATTAATCGCCGCATGCAAAACACTATGGGACTGGAAACCAGATGGGATGTCATTAGAGGGACTCGTAAATGGAAACGCATGCTCACCATTTCGTCATTATCAATTATTTCTCCTTATTTTTTTGCATTTCTTATCGGCGTGTATCCAAAGATGACAAAAGTTCAGCGAATATTGTAGAATTTCCGAAGGAAATGTTTAGCAGCTTAGACGAGACATCTCTTTCTACTCTAAATAGTAGCCGAAGAAAAATTTTGAGACTAGCTATTGTAATAGTCTTTCCAACTTCTGTTAACTTCCTGCAAAATTCTAGGATGATGCCTGAGGAAGGGAGTTCACAGTAGGCCTTATTGAACCTACAACGCGGGAGCATAAAATTCAAAACAATTTCTCTGTCCTGCCGTGTTCTCACTTTATTTTTGCCAAGTCATAGCTGTTTGGATTCTATCTAGCTTGAAGAGAGGTAGAGAAGGCAGCTCCTGTGGACTGTCGACTCTATTGACGTGGACAGCTCCGTAACGGACTTTTCCTGAAGATTCACGGCCACGACTGGTGCCGCTGGCTTTACTTGTAAATAGCAGCCCTGCAGAACATTGGACTGCTGTGGTTGCCGAAGGTAGACGCCAATGGCAACCCTTCTGTTAGAGATTGTCACAGATTCTCCCATCCGCAGCATATGCTCTCCTTCCGTCACGTTAAGCTTTAGCATTCAGTACTAGGAATTAGGCGGTTGTCCTTTAGGATTGGGTTTGCTTTACGCAGCCGTCATTGTAGCAATCGCGTCATTCTTGAAAACGAAAAAGCTCATAATACTAAAACAGAATATGTAATTTCGACCAGCTGGAGCACAATTGGGCAAGCCTTAAGTTCCCGGGTAGCCAAAGCAAAGAGTATAAGTAATTAAGACAATACAATATGCTTGGGTGTTTCCTTTAAAAATTTATAACTTTTGTGTCAGAAAATAATTCCGATGTTAAAATAGAAAAAAGCTTAGCCAGTAGCTGTTTGGAAGGCACGAGCATAGTCCATGGCGCCAGTGCGTGCAGCAAATAACGAGAGTTTGGAAGATTCGAGGTCGGAAATACAATTCCACTGGGATCCTTTTCACCCTCACTTTGTTATACTTTTCTGAGGCTTTTGTAAAACAGATTTGAGTTTGTTTATTAGTACTATTCTGCTTAATTCTAACCTTGTTCCTCAACTTTAGAAGCTGATCCAACATATTCATGAGAAGACGGCTCCACGTACGGGTCCTCTGCGTTTCCAAATGTGCCGCGCTGATCGAGAAGGTATGTTTTTGACAGAGAGCCTCCAACAAATCTTCTTCCGGTCAGGCACCACAAAGCAGTGCAAATATCGTAGGGAAAGGGAGAGGTTTATTCGAGACGAACTCGCATGCGTGGATATTCCCTATTCCTCGCCTTGCAAGTGTGTAGTCCATGCCGTGTTCCCTTAAACAGCATCATAGCTTACAATCCAGTGAAGTGGAGGATTAAAAATGCCCAATTCGGTTTGTGCTCACTGGGTCTAATGCCTCGAAATCTCAGTTCTATAAATGTGCCGATGAAAAATAAAAACACGTCGTGATACTACCAGTTGTGCTGTTAATTTTTACTTTTTCAGCCAAATTCAGTAAACACTAGGTTGTAAAAATTGCCTCATCTGGATTCATTTAAAAGGGGAGTTTTAAATGAATGACGGTTGGAAAATTATAGCAGCCATTAAAATCTCTTACCACCCTGGTTGTTGGCCTGGCAGCCTGCATTACGCTTTGGAAAGAGGCGCCTGCTTGATAAACGCCTAGCAATTATTTTCTGCACATGTCTTGGGAATTTTTTGCACAGAGTATTAGACTAGACAGTGGTTGAGCCAATCAAGACTGTCAATTTAATGCTTTACCTGCTTGTTTAATCGTTCAATTGGGTTTTGCAAGCATGGAATATTCCGCCTTTTGGCCTTCAAGCCTTGAGGGTAGCCACTAACCCTTCTCTCCGCAGTAAACATATATTTTGCCCCAATGTTATAGACCCTATTTGTTTTCTGCAAAGACTTGAGTGAGTGCATTGGTGGCAGAGAAAGGCAAACCTGATCTAAACAGATAATAATCCAGATTTACCTTTTTGAATTCTAAAGCTTAACGTTAGGAAAAAAGGACATGGGCTGTAGATGAGAGAATCTGTGGCGACATCTCAGCAATCACCCTAGTCCCCTGTTCTACAGGACTGCTACTGACAATTAAATTCTCTTATGGAGCTACCCATCGAAGCCGTGCAAAGATATCAACTAAGTGAACATGTAGCACCCTCCCCCTAAACCTCTCTACTAAATGAAACCCAGAAAGACATCGCTGATCAACACTGAAGTGAGAACAAGTTGGCGAGGAGGAATAGACGCAAAGCCTCGTCTCAT